TATTTGTACAAATATAAAATATCAGGTGATTATATTACATTTGAAATAGTAAAAAGCTAGGATAATATTTTAGTTTCCAAAAATGTTTTTTTATTATATATTTTCAAATAAAAGTTTATAATACTTTTCTAAATTAATCGTTTTTACTAATCGCAAGAATGTGATGAGACTAAGAATTGAATTAAAATTAAAAGATATGTGATGATAGTGCCCACCATCTAAAAAAATAAAAAATAAATATTGTAGTTTAATTTTAAGATATTTAAATCATTTCTATATTAAACCTTAATGTAAATGTCAATATTAATGTAAATGTAATTGGTTACTTACCGCAGTAAGAAAAGTTGCATCCACAGTAAGAAATTTCGAAGAAAATATATTATTGCTATGCAGTATTTGCAAAGAAAACAGGTGCAACTGCAACATCAAATAGAAAAACATTTATTAACAATTTGCAAATAGATACAAAATATAATTATAAATTGGTTATATATTATTTATATACAAAAATTGTTAGTATATGAATTATTAAAAAATATATCTAGAAATTAAATTTTTTTATTAGTACCTCATATTTTATGTTTTTGTCGCTGGTACTATTAAGAACATCATGAACAGTGGTGCTAATCTTTATGGCTTGATTTTTGCCGGTTTCACAACTCCATATTATTAATAGTACTTTTAGAATATGATACGTCAAGTAGGATATTACGAACGAATTATGAACCTGCTTAGTCAGACTGATAGACAGCCCGTTTTTCCACTGCACCGTATTAGAATATATTTCGAAAGTAATCTCGATGAAGGCTATGGCAAAAGTCGCGAGAAGCTGCAGACTGAAAATTTTATTCAGCATCTGCATTGTATTGCTAACCATTAGATGTTCCTTTCGTAAAATCTTAAGTTCTTCCAACAGAAGTGGGTTTCTTTGGTGATAATAAATCAGTCTAGGAATATGCGATTTATCTTCACTCATGAATTTTCGTAGAATTATTAGATTGTCATCGATTCTTTTGAAACATGCCTTTAATATAAAAACACAATTCACATACAGCATATTCAATTGTAATATTTGTAAATTAATGTAATGTTCCATTAATGCTGTTGCAAAAAATAACTCATTTGATTGATGGAAATGTAAAAGTGACGTCACCGATTGTCCCATTAAGTAAAAAAGACTGAAAATATCTTTAGCGTGTATTAACTTAGAGAGTTTCTCAAACGATTTTGGAGGCAACTTTGAAGAAACTTTTAATATAGTTTGTAGTAAGCGCATTCGTGAACCACTCAAAATAGATGAGGCTATTATTATAAAACTTCCGAGCATAAAAAAAAAGTTGTCTTGAATTTTTTCAGTTATTTCTTTTGTATTATTTAATACGTTGACTTCATAAAGCCTTATCAGATCATAAACGCAGGTGACGCAGACAATAATAATTAATAGAAAGTAACGTGATCTTGATGGCTCGAAGATCGAAGCGTTGATCTTGTACGGGAACACTCCAAAAATAGAAGAGAAAATAAAGCAAGGATACAACAAAGATTGAAAGTCTGTAGCATTGAATAGCTGCCACCTTTTCCACATTTTGCTTTTCACTTGTCTTTGAAATTTCGGCGATAGATTGGACATAATTAGCGAAATACATATGCGAACTACAATTTAAAGTTGTAGACAATAGTCTAATAATTATTTATTACACTATCAATACACTTTGACATTAATAAAATAATTACAAAAGCTTCTTTTTAAACTGTAGTTTTTAAAATTTTTTTTTTCACGATGAATGCATAAACTAAAACACATTTGTTATTGGTCTATACCTGATGAATTTAAGTTTGACTGCGAGTAGTTGCTATATGAAATAATAAGATGCAGTTCAGAAATTATTTAGCCATAAAATAAAATAATGTGTCCTTTATTATTTAGTACTTTACCCTAGGGATGCAGCGCATAAAGTAATGAAGTATTCGTCATGACATACAATACTTTATCTAGAAAATGTAGATCATGTACAAAGCTAATGAAGCCACGTATAAAACAGAAAGCATTAACTATCAATTTAGTTTATGGTATTCATATTGTTAAAACAATTGCTTACTTATGTATGAGCAAGGACGTACACTATTTTTATATCATTACTTTAAAATTCAGTATATTTATTGTTAACAAAACTTACTATCTTATGTAATATTTAGTATAAAATTGATTGTAATGATATTTAAACAATAATATTTAATTAACACAAAAATAACGATACACATTTTTTATTTGAATGAAGGAAAATTTTATTTTTCTTAAATTAAATTTATGCAAGTCATCATAATTTAAATAAATTGATTTCTCTTGATTAATCTACTAAAATGTAATAAATAAGATATTTTTATAGAAGATAAATTTATAACTTTAAATTGTATTTATTATAAATTAAAGTATCGTAAAATTGTAGATATTATTAACACAAACAAAAGTAGTAATAATAACAAAAGTAATATAAATGAATTGAATTGATATATATTATAAGACTAATTTTTCTCGAAAATAATGTAATTTTAATCACATAGATAAAAATTAATCTAACTAATATCTAAATTGCTTGATGTATTCTTTTAACTGATGTAAAATTAATGGTACTTTATATAGTTTAAGAGTAAGAAATTATATTGGTTGATGCTTTTTGTTTTTTATACACATAAGAACAAGTAAAATATTCACTAAAAGTAAAATATTATTATTGCAATAATTTATTTATTACCTCTTAATAAAAATTTAATTAAATTCGTATTGATAAGAAAATTCAAATAACAGATATACTGTTTGAATTTAACGAATTATTTAAGTTAATTTTAAATGTTAAATTTATTTTC